CAAAAAATAGTGCATGTACTACTTTAGAAATTATTATCATTATACAGTATTTATTATACAGTAATCAGTGCGGCTGCGACCAAGTCGGAACCACAACGATATGACCGCTAGAATTGCGGACAATAGGGTGCAACCTGGCATGAGATTTGCAAGCTGCATGGCATTGTATTTAAAGCGGATCAAAATTTAAGAAAAAAAAAAAATAAATAAAAAAAAAAAATATATATATATATATATATATATGTATATTGAAGCTTACCAGTGATCCCAAGGCTTGACACAGGTTGGCTGTTTTTTTTTACAACCAGTTGATTGAAAAAAAATAAAAAGATTTTCACATCCACACAAGCAATTCTTTCCAGCAGGCTAACGCATTTCGAGGACTTGCCTCTTCCTCAGAGGAAGAGGACAGGCCTCAAAATGCATTAGCCTGTTGGATGCCCATTGACCATGTGATGGGATGTATTGCAGACTGGATGGTTGTTTGATTTACTCTTCTTTTGTATAATATTTACCACTTTCATACAAAGACTCATCATAAAACAACCATCCAGTCTGCAATACATCACATCCCATCACAGGGTCAATGGGCATCCAACAGGCTAACGTGTTTTGAGGCCTTGCCTCTTTCTATGAGGAAGAGGCATGTCCTCAAAATGCATTAGCCTGTTGGATGTTAGCCTTCCTCTGAGGAAGAGGCAAGTCCTTGAAACGCGTTAGCCTGTTGGATGTTAGCCTTCCTCTGAGAAAGAGGCAAGTCCTTGAAACACGTTAGCCTGTTGGATGTTAGCCTTCCACTGAGGAAGAGGCATGTCCTTGAAACACGTTAGCCTGTTGGATATTAGCCTTCCTCTGAGAAAGAGGCAAGTCCTTGAAACGCGTTAGCTGTTGGATGTTAGCCTTCCTCTGAGGAAGAGGCATGTCCTTGAAACACGTTAGCCTGTTGGATGTTAGCCTTCCTCTGAGAAAGAGGCAAGTCCTTGAAACGCGTTAGCCTGTTGGAGGTTAGCCTTCCACTGAGGAAGCGGCAAGTCCTTGAAACGCGTTACCCTGCTGGATGTCCATTGACCCTGTGATGGGATGTGAACCGCATGCGGACTGGATGGTGCTGTTGTTTTATGATGAGCCTTTGAATTGCTTTTCTGAGTATAATATTTACCACGTTTCTACAAATAAAATACATTGTACCTCTCTCTTTCTCCTAGCAGAGAGAGAAATAAAAAACTCTTAGTAAAAATAAATAAATTAAATATTAAAAAATACAATAAAAAATAAAGAAAAAAATACCTATATCAAGGCTTGATCTAGTTTAGTGCCAGGGTTAGTTTTTGGGTCAAGTTCAGGGTCAAAGGTCAGAATTTTTTTATTTTAAAAAAAAATTGGTATCAGGGTCAGTGTTTTAAATTAAAAAAAAAAAATGCGCACTATTGTTTCTGAGCTGTACTATGGGTACAAACAACAAATAACATACACATATATGGTATCGCTGCGATCAGCAAGAGCTGCAAAATTTATTTGGGGTTGCTTTTTGGTGGTAAGTTATGGTAACACACAGCTAATTTAAAAAAAATAATTTTATTTTACTATTTTGGGCCAGTTTTCCTTTGATAATAAAAAAAATCAGGAGATATTCATTGCCATTTACCACCAAATGAAATCCCAATTTGTCCTGAAAAAACGCGGTATAATTCACCTGGATGTACAACGTAGTTGTGATATGTACAGTTTTACTAGCGCGGGTCAAAGTTGCAAATTTGTGCTTAGGCGTTAAGATTTGTAAACGTAGGCGGGAAGGGGTTAAGAGGCATGCTGTCATATACATGTGCCAAGTGGTAATAACATTGTAATAACGGTTTGCTATTTTAAAAGGTTAATGTTTATATACAAATGACAAGGCAGCTTAGATTGCAGTGCTAATGTTCAAAGGAATAAATGCTTTGAGGCTCAGTGCTCGCAGGCAGTGCGACTTTGCGACACGCCAGAGAAAACCGTACAGCGAGGGCACGTCTGAGGATCTGTATTCCGTTTTTAAACTTTTAAAAGTAAAATGTCCTGCCTAAGCACAGACATCGCAAGATGCCCGTTATTTCCTCGAGTAGCCAGTAAAGCCACTTCTGTGCCCCTCTCTGATTTAGTTTTACTTTCCCCGAATCCATGGCTAAGCCCAGCTAAGTTCCATGTCCTCTGAGTCTGCTTCAGCCAGCAAAGACATTCTAATTGGATAGGGAATGACAGCTGGCTGGGCTTAGCCATGAATGCAGGAACACACCGGCCGAGAAACAACATAAAAGTATATCAGAGAGGAGCACATGACTTGCTGAACGTACACCACCAAAAGACGTAAGATTTCACAAAGAAAAAAAAAAAAGAGAAATGAAAGTGCCATATATAAACAAGATCATTCTGAGCACAAGAGAACTGGGAGCAGGGGCGGACTGACCATTTGGAAACTTACTCGGGCACTGCCCGAGGGCCCGGGGTCAGTAGGGGGCCCCATGAGATGTCCCTGGTACCTTTTTCATAGGCTTTTTTGAGTTTGGGCAAGGACACAGGGGCCCCATGATCCCCTATTGCCCGGGGCCCCATGAGTTGTCAGTCCGCCCCTGACTGGGATCCAGCCTGTGAAAGATGTGACCATAAGGCTTCATTCACACTAGCGCATCTCCAAAGTTGCACAATATCCAGTGTGACTTTTGGTGCAACTTTGATCCGCCATGACATTCTCTGGACCAAAGTCGCATCAAAGTAGTGCAGGCACCTTTTCAAAATTGATGTGTAGTTCGCTTTTTTAAATGTTTTTGATGCATTTTTCGTTTTTAATCTGCCCAGCAACAAGCTGGCCAAAAAACCCCATACAACCGCAAAAGGCATCAAAACCATATCAAAAACACACAGCAGAAACGGATCAAACTCAAACTGCATAGGTGTGAACCAACCTAACATTACGCCCTGACCGATCGACTCCGATCAAAACTGAGTCTAAATTGATCCAAAGGGACGTTAAGGCTGTTTGATTGTTCGTGGATTTGATCGCTTTGATGGACTGGATTTAAAAAAAAAAAAAAAAATCAAAGCATGTGGCCACCATAAGGGTCACCATACATATTACAATCTGACCATACAATTTATGTACAATCAACTTCAAACTACAACGGCGTTTTTTGACATTTTTATCTGCAACCAGTGAACCCCCCCGCATGTTATCCTATGTGTCCATGCACACATAGACTGTAATCAGTGTTTTTGGCTGAGGCATTTTTTGGCTGGAAAAAGACCCAATACTAGTTATTATCCAAAAATTTTTTAGCCTAATAATGCTGGTAGCGTTAGCTGTGTAAAGTTGCGTTAAGAACACAAGTTTTCAGCTTTTTTTTAGCATTTTTGCAATAACGTTTACGCACATTTTTCCACGTTTGTGTTTTTAAAAAAAAAAAAAAAACCCCACCCCAAAACGCCATTTTGTGGCGGTTTTCCACGTTTACCAGCATTAGAGCATTTTTACCAACACCACGTGTGCATGGAGCCTGAACAAAACATTGAGGACCTAGCTAAACTATCCATTCAGATAGGCCCTTGCACTACTTAGTCGTTGGCCGATCTACAGGAGATTGTACAATCAAATTGTAACGTGTGGCATGCACACATAGGCTGTAATCAGCGTTTCTGGCAGAGGCATTTTTGGCTGGAAACCAGAACTAGTGGGTTTTTAGCTATGAACAGGGGCGGACTGACAACTCATGGGGCCCCCGGGCAATAGGGGATCATGAAGCCCCTGTGTCCTCGCTCACACCCAAAAAAGTCTATGAAAAAGCCAATGAAAGGTACCAGGGGAATCTCATGGGGCCCCCTACTGACCCCGGGCCCTTGGGCAATGCCCGACTGCTCAAAAGGTCAGTCAGCCCATGGCTGCGAAAACACTGAAAAACACAGCTAAACACGGTAAAACGCAGAAAACTGGCGTTAAGGGGCATTTTTTGAGAAAAAAAAAAGTTTTTGGTTACAAAACCGCTAAAACCCACAAACGCGAAAAAACCCTGCTAAACACTGATGCAAAAACGCTGAAAAACTCACATTTTTATCCTAACTTTACACAGCTGTTACCAGCGTTATTAAACGCCCCGTGTGCATGGAGTCTAAAGGCTATATACATGTCACGGTGGCGATGCTGTGATTTGTGGCTGCATCGAAACCTAAACAGCATGTGGTGCTGCTGCCGAACTTGGCTCAAGTAGTTTTATGCCGAACTTGGCTCAAGCAGTTTTACGCAATGTATGCAATTGCAGTGTGGCACTGAAATGGTTAAATCAGGCAATGAAACGGGGACATATCACCTCCTCACTGGCTGTCAAACCTCTCTGTAAAGTGGTCTGAGCACAGATCGCTTTTCAGAGGAACGGCAGTCTGTGTGCACATGAAAATTAATCGATCAAAGCAATGCGTCCAGGGGTGGACTGACCATTTGGAAACTCAGGCACTGCCCGAGGGCCCGGGGTCAGTAGGGGGCCCCATGAGATGCCCCTGGTACCTTTTTCATAGGCTTTTTTGAGTTTGGGCAAGGACACAGGGGCCCCATGATCCCCTATTGCCTGGGGGCCCCATGAGTTGTCAGTCCGCCCCTGATTGCATCTGTTAAGTAAACTTATCGGATGTGACACAACATTCTTTTATGAAGTTTGAAGGACATTGAGGGAACCCTATTCAAGTACCAAGTATATTTCCTGCCAGCCATAAATGGGTTGTCTTTGGTAGAATTCCCCGCAGTTGTATTGTGTAATATTCCAATCTGTTTCCTGGTTTCAGTTGATTGCAATGCAATGCAGATATACAAGCCATACAAACCGGCTTTCTGTTCTATGCAGTGGCTGTTTAAAGGGCCAGTCCACCCATAACAGACACATCCAAAGAGATGCTGCCATCCTTTTTATAGACAGAAGATCTATGGGGGTAAATGTGACATCGCTAAACACATGGCAGGAATAATTCTGAGAACTATTATACCCAGGGGCGGACTGACCATTTGGAAACTCGGGCACCGCCCGAGGGCCCGGAGTCAGTAAGGGGCCCCATGAGATGCCCCTGGTACCTTTTCCATAGGCTTTTTTGGGTTTGGGCAAGGACACAGGGGCCCCATGATCCCCTATTGCCCGGGGGCCCCATGAGTTGTCAGTCCGCCCCTGATTATACCTGGCAAATCCTGATCAGCTGGACAGATTGGTGACCTGCTGCAGGTAAAGTGATATTAAACCCAGTATCAAAAACCGAATTTATTGTACAGATGTGCTGAAGGTCTCTACTGAATACTGAAAAGGCAACTCAGTACATCTGCACACATGTGGATCGGGAGCAACGTAATTTTCGTCCAGGTAGGAAAAACCTGATGCCGTGCTGCACAAAAAAGTAAAAATAATTCAAATAAAAAGTTCTAATTGTGGGAAAGGGAGGGGCTGGAACCAAATACAAAAAAAAAAAAAATACTTTTTGGGGGTGAAGGTCTGCTTTAAATGTGGTGGCTGCATTAGTTTTCTTTGTTTAGCTTCTTTTCCCCTTGGGGATCTGGCTAGTAACATGCTTCCCATCTAAGCGTTGCTCCTCTTATCTATGGAGGATCAACGAGGTCACCCATGGACAGCAGCATTTTATAGAGGGTGTTGTATGGATCAGTCTGCACCCAGTCTGAAAAATGATGAAGAAGCTGCATCAGGTGAACTCATCGCTCATGATGTGACATGACTTAGTACTTGGTGGCAAATCCCTTGTTAGCAATCACAGAGGTCAGACGTTTCCTGTAGTTGGCCACCAGGTTTGCACACATTTCAGGAGGGATTTTGGCCCACTTCTCTTGGCAGATCCTCTTCAAGTCATTAAGGTTGGGTGGCTGACGTTTGGCAACTCGAACTTTCAGCTCCCTCCACAGATTTTCAGTCGGATTAAGGTCTGGAGACTGGCTAGGCCACTCCAGGACCTTAATGTGCTTCTTCTTGAGCCACTCTTTTGTTGCCTTGGCCGTGTGTTTTGGGTCATTGTCATGCTGGAACACCCATCCACAACCCATTGTCAATGCCCTGGCTGAGGGAAGAAGGTTCTCACCCAAGATTTGACATTGCCCCGTCCATCGTCCCTTTTATGCGGTGCACTTGTCCTGTCCCCTTAGCAGATAAACACCCCCAAAGCAGAATGTTTCCACCACCATGCTTGCAGTTGGGATGGTGTTCTTAGGGTCATAGGCCGCACTCCTCCTCCAAACACGGCGAGTTGAGTTGATGTCAAAGAGCTCGATTATGGTCTCATCTGACAACACTTTCAACCAGTCCTCCTCTGCATCATTCAGATGTTCAGTGGCAAACTTCAGACGGGCCTGGACATGTGCTTCCTTGAGCAGAGGGACCTTGTGGGCACTGCAGGATTTCAATCCTTGTCAGCGTAGTGTGTTACCTATTGTTTTCTTGGTGACTGTGGTCCCAGCTGCCTGGAGATCATTGACAAGATGCTCACATGTAGTTCTGGGATGATTCCTCACTGTTGTCATGATCATTGACAGTCCACAAGGTGAGATCTTGCATGGTGCACCAGACCTAGGGAGACTGACAGTTGTTTTGTGTTTCGTCCATTTGTGAATGATTGCACCAACTGTTGTCACCTTCTCACCAAGCTGCTTGGCGATAGTTTGGTAGCCCAATCCAGTCTTGTGTAGGTCTACAATCTTGTCCCTGACATCTTTGGACAGCTCTTTGGTCTTTGCCATGGTGGAGAGTTTGGAATCTGATTGTTTGATTGCTCCTGTGGACAGGTGTCTTTTATACAGGTAAGAAAATGAGATGAGCAGCACTCCCTTTAAGAGACTGCTTCTAATCTCAGCTTGTTACCTGTATGAAAGACACCTGGTAGCCAGAAATCCTGCTGACTGATAGGGGATCAAATACTTATTTCCCTCATGACCATGCAAATCAGTCATCATTTGTTAGACATGCATTTCTTTTGAATTTTTTGTTGCTATTCTGTCTCTCTGTGTTACAATACACCTGCCATTCGATTTTTAGATTGATCATTACTTTGTGAGTGGGCAAACATTCAAAATCAGCAGGGGATCAAATACTTATTTCCTTCACTGTATATAATAATGGATAGATTGAGGGCAGGTATCCCTGAAGGGAGCCCACCCCTCCTTAAGGCTAGATTAGCACCTATGCAGTTTGCGTTTGATCCATTTCTGCAGTGCTTTTTGTGGTTTGTTTTGCATTTTTTGCACTAGCATTTTTGCTGCTTTTTTTTTTTTCAACTTGTTGCTGGGCAGAATAAAATGCAAAACACATAAAAAACATGTCAAAAAAATGCATCAAAAACGCACTACATGCTTTTCTACAATATCTCCATTGAAGTTTATAGAACCAAAAACGCAACGTTTTGCATTTAAAAAAGTTCCTGACCCTTTCCAAAAAACACACCGGGTGAAAACGCAGAGCCATGAACCTGTCCCATAGGAAATCATGTTAAATGGATTGCTGTGCATTTCTGCAAAATGCTACAATAAAAACGCATTGGTAGAAGGACGCACTGGACACCCAGCAAATGGCACAATGGCAGTCAAGGTATCCAGTGCGTCCTCTCACCAAATTCACCAACAAAACAAGGCAACTGCCCCAACCTATAAGTTTATAAGTGGCCTTTGCAGCAAGCAGAACATGGAAATGCGATGCATGTCAAAAAACAGCAAAAAAAATTCCCAGCTCACTTACCAGCCAGCCTGCAACAAACCAAACTACCCTGCTTTTGTCCATTCACACTATTACTGTTACAACACAGGGGTAGGTGAGAAATGTGGTCCAGCCAGACCACTGCAGTGTTGATGTGCTGATTCCGATGTATTGCACTGTTCACTTTTTTTTGTTTTACAAACTTTATTGAAATGTCACATAGTGACATTTCATTAAGTTCTATTGGCCAGAATGCGGTGACCCATGCTGCTGCGTTGCAAAAAAGTACTGCATGCATTTTGCCTTGTCTTGCGATGGGATTCCACTGGAATAGCCATCCAACACAGTCCCACCACAACTGGTGTGACCTTGAAGCTGTAGAATGTCTCACAGCAGGGGCGGACTGACCATTCGAACACTCGGGCACTGCCCGAGGGCCCGGGGTCAGTAGGGGGCCCCATGAAATGCCCCTGGTACCTTTTAAAGGCTTTTTTGGGTGCGCTTTGAGTGTGGGCAAGGACACAGGGGCCCCATGACCCCGTATTGCCCAGGGGCCCCCGGACAATAGGAGATCATGGGGCCCCTGTGTCCCTGCCCACACTCAAAAAAAGCCTATAAAAAGGTACCAGGGGCATTTCACGGGGCACCCTGACCCTGGGCCCTCGGGCAGTGCCCGAGTTCTCGAATGGTCAGTCCGCCCCTGCACAGGACTATACCTACCTCTCTTACTAGGAATGCAGCAGTGAAGCAGGGGGGTTGTAGAGGAAACTGATGATAGAATGGCAAATTAATTTGCTTACACTGCAAAAATACTTTTAGAGTTGAAATTTGCTTTTAGTGCAGTTTTTGTTTTCTTCTAGCACAGCGTTTTGTAATAGAACCCACATCCCTAAAGTGCAGCTGCCTACAGGACTTTTCTGCGAGCCCTGTCAGGGACTGCTCTCCAAAATCTTCAAATTTCCAACAATCATCTTCAACCGTTATGGTAAGGAAAACTGAGCAGGATGAAAAATTTTGATCAAAACTAGCAAAATTCTAACTGTGAATATGACTTGTGTTCATGATAAATCATATATATTATGAGCAGCACAGTGGCTAAACTTTGCTTGGCAGTACTAGGGTCGTTGGTTCAAATCCCTGTCCTGTGCCCTGCCTGCATTTTACTGTTCTTTCTGCCCGGAAACTGAGAAAAGTCCATGGCGTCCAAAAAGCGTCCCTTTAGGTCAAAATCGGTTTTAGACCAGCTAGAGAACAGCGATAGAAAATCAGAACCACTTGCAGAATTGAGTGATAATGATTCATGGGGAAATTCCTCATCAGACACTGAAAACGATTTTGTGACTTTGCTCAGTGATGTGCGAACTTGATGCTATATTTCAAATTTCAGTGTTTTTGGTTTGATTATATTATTGAATTAAATTTATTATTATTATTATTTTTATGATTATTTATTAAATTATAATTTATGATTTTGTGTTTCAAATTTTAACATACCCGGGATGTTTACTAGACTCTTGTTCGGACAGATTTCAGTGACTTATTCCTAAAAATTACAGGCCTACAATAAAAAATAATACATATTTCCATGCAAAAAAATGTACCGCTTTGAGCACAGAAATACTGACATAATAAGACTGCTAGGGAGGTTAACGTCTTCTGGGGAGGACAGCCTGTGTAGCTGGGAAGGAGCCAACCCAGCGAAAGGCCTGAAGGCTGCCACCAACCCACTAAACTAACAGAAGAGGACATTGTGAGTATTCCTACACCCCCTGTGCCAGATAAGGGGAGAGGGCAGTCAGGTGTAACACCCAACTAGCTTCTCATCTGGGACTATTCAATCGCCAGCTCTGGGGCCCCCTTGCCCAGGGATACCCTCAGGCAGCTGGGTGTGGAGGAGGAATCATCCAGGGTCTGAGGAGGTACACCTAAGAGCCTTCAGTGCTCTTCAGGAAGAGACTGTTGCTAATCCGAATCTTTGTACATAGTTGCTAAGGAGTTGTCCTCACGTTCTACAGATATGCCAGAGTTGCGTTTTTAAGTCCTCACTTTTTCCCCATTGTACAGGCAACCCAAACTTCACTCACTCCAATAACAAAGTCAGGCAAGCTGTGGATGAGATCTTGATTAAAGGAAATAGAGTTTGGGCTATGTATGCATCAGAAAAGAGGTTCAGGACTGAGAAGATCTTAAAGAGTTACTGTGCGGCTTCATTATATTCCAGGACTGGAGAAATCCCAGGAGGCAGGTAGCCAACGTTCGTAGAAAATGGATTTTTAAAGCATTTTCTATTGTTGTTGTCAATAGAAAGACATGTTCCCTGGCTCCCTAACAGTGATGCTAGCTCCTCAACTGTAATTAGCATGCCTTATGTTCCTATTTTTCATCTTTGCACTTACATCAGTAAGAAATGTAGGAGGATAACGAAGCAGCCTCTGCTTTTCATTAACATTTGGCCTGCCTAAGTTTGGGTCTGTATGGCCTTTCTGTAAGGCTCCATTCACACTTATGTGACCTGTCATGCGACTTTGGAGACAAGTTGCAGACCATTGTTTTCAATGGCACTCATTCGACTTAAAGTGCATTTATCTTCTTTTTGTCCCAAAAAGAGCCAACACCATCTTTCTCCAGTCATCTTTTAAATTTAGAATCTGTCCCCGGACTAATGTGCTGCTCAGAAAATATTCAGTCCTTGAAAGATCTGTCTTTACAATTTTTGATTTGAACATATCCAGGTTGTTCTGTACCGCTCAGTACCCTTTCAATAGCCTTTGCCTCTGTAACCAGCTAATGTCAAAATTTATTACTGAGCTCAATCCCCTTGCAGCAGCTTCTCCCTTTGTAGCCAGTTAGTGCAAAATTCCAAAACATTTGCACAGTCCAGCACCTATATTTGTGAACAGCTAGTATCAGATTGTGTAAAAATCCATCTTTCACAGCTCTGTCCCCTTACTGCTACAATCTGGTACCCTTGCTATGACATGTACATCTGTGACCAGCTAGTGTAAGAATCCATCCCACACAGCTCATTATCTTTGCTACTACCTCTCCATCTGTGGCCAGCTAGTGTAAAATGCTATTACATAGAGCTCAACCCCCTTTGTTACTGTTTCTCCCTCTGTAACCAGCTAGTGTTAAAATCAATCACATTCACACAGTTCAGCACCCTTAATACCGCATCTACTTTTATGACCAGCTTGTGTAAAGATCCATCACATTCACACAGTTCAGTACCTTACCCTTACTATGGCATCTACTTCTGTGACCAGCTAGTATTAAAATTCATCATATTCAGACAGTTCAATACTCTTATTATGGCATCTACACTTGTGACCAGCTAGTGTAAAAATTCATCAAAAGCACACAAGCCAGTACCCTTGCTACAGCATCCACTTCTGTTACCAGCTAGTAAAAATCCATCTCCCACAGGCCCTGCCCCCTTACTACTACTACTACTTCTGTAACCAGCTAGTGTTAAAATCCATCATAATCATACAGTTCGGTGCCCTTACTATCACATCTACTTCTATGATGACCAGCTATTGTAAAAATCCATCACATTTATATAATTCAGTACCCTTACCAACACATCTACTTCTGTGACCAGCTAGTGTAAAAACCCATCACATTCATACAGTTCAGTACCCTTACCAACACATCTACTTCTGTGACCACTAGTGTAAAAATCACATTCATACAGTTCAGTGCCCTTACACCACATCTACTTCTGTGACAGCTATTGTAAAAATCCATCACTTTCATACAGTTCAGTGCCCTTACCAACACATCTACTTCTGTGACCAGCTAGTGTAAAAACCATCACATTCATACAGTTCAGTACCCTTACCAACACATCTACTTCTGTGACCAGCTAGTGTAAAAAAATCCATCACATTCATACAGTTCAGTGCCCTTACCACCACATCTACTTCTGTGACCACCTAGTGTAAAAAACCCATCACTATCATACAGTTCAGCACCCTTACCACCACATCTACTTATTTGACCAGCTAGTGTAAAAATCCATTTCACACAGCTCATTATTTTGGCTACTACCTCTCTTTCTGTGACCAGCTAGTGTAAAAATCAATCACACTCATACAGCTCAGTCCCTTATTATTATTATACAGGATTTATATAGAGCCAACAGTTTGCTCAGCGCTTTACAATATAACGGGAGACAATACAGTAACAATACAGTTCAATACAAGAGGGTTAGGAGGGCCCTGCTCCTTGGAGCTTACAATCTAAGAGGAAGGGGTTGGCAGTAAAAAGGGCAATCACTGTGTGGGATGAACTGATAGGAGAAATAGAAGATTCCGTTATTAGCTGAAGGCAGGATAGGCTTCCCTGAAGAGATAAGAGATCACCTAAAAGGGCAGAGTAGGTGATCATCAGATAGATTGGGGTAGAAAGTTCCAGAGGATGGGGGAGGCTCTGGAGAAGTCCTGGAGATGAGCATGGGAGGAGGAGACAAGAGAGCAGGAGGTCGCGTGAGTCACCCTGTGACTGGACATTGTAAACATCCATAAGAGTCTCATACACATGAGCTCAAGTGCTTGATCTCATCTTTAGACCTGTCCAAACTCTGCAATGAAAAGTCTGAGTGATAGACTGAGGAAACCCCTCCTCTAGGCTGCGTGTGACTAATGAGCTCATTCTCCCACAATGCACCTCTCAGCTAGGCCTTAAGAGACTAGTCACATGACTACAGCTCAAGCACTACCTTTGTCATTATAGCACATTGGGATTTCTGAAAATTGCGTGTGTATATATATAAATATAATTACTTTAAGCGACATTTTAATAGAAGCCTCACCATATCTATAGGACACCATAACCCGTAAGGTGGATGGTAAATGGATAATCTACTAACATGGTTACATTCTGAAAAGTTGGTATTAAACTTTGTATGATCAAAATATTACATTTGTTTTCTTTAAAAAGTAGCCCCAGTCTGAAGTAGAAAAGCCTGTGACCTGCCAGCTGCAGAGTGAGACCTTTGTTCATCAGGGGAAGAGTAGTCTCTCTGCAGAGGTCTGCAGTCCCCCTGCTGGCTGAGACCTATAGCTCTTCAATTACGAAAGTGCAATCTTCCTGCTCATTGGAGAGCTCCAACTCTGGCTCAGCAGGGGGCATGTCTCCCCTCTGCAGAGAGACCACTGCTTTTAATCACTTGCCCTCCAGAGGATTTACCCCCCTTCCTGACCAGGCCATTTTTTTGCGATACAGCCTTGCGCTACCTTTGCAATTGCACGGTCATGCAACGCTGCACCCATATGACATTTACGTCTTTTTTCCCCCACAAATAGAGCTTTCTTTTGGTGGTATTTGATTGCCTCTGCAGTTTTTATTTTTGTGCTATAAACAAAAAAAGACTGACAATTTTGAAAAGGAAACGGTATTTTTGACTTTTTCCTATTAAACATGTCCAGTATAGAGATTGAAAATCAAAATTTCGTTATAAATTTAGGCCAAAATGTATTCCGCTACTTGTCTTTGCTAAAAAAAAAACAAAATCCCAATACGTGTAACTTAATTGGTTTACGTGAAATTTATAGTGTTTCCAAATGGCGGTATATGTACTGGAATTTATATATATATATATATATATACACACACTAGTAATGGCGGTGATCAGCAAAGGGACTGCAGCGAGCATTCTGACACTGGGGGGGGATTGACTTGATGTCACTGACATACCCAATGACACTAATACAGTGATCAGTGCTAATAAAAAGCACTGACACTGTACTAATGGCACTGGGCAGGAAGGGGTTAACCGCTTTCCCCCGCCACCCTATAGTAAAAATACTACTGCAACAGGGCGGCAGGGGTGCACACAATCACATACAGTATATACATGTGATTTTGCATTTCTGGTTAGGGGTCACACACGCCCTATCTTAGCCTCCATTGGTGGTCTCATCTGTTGATCACTGGGTCCAAACCGGTGATTCGCACCCTTGCATGGCGATCTCCATGTATCACCGATGGGGGTAGAAGTCTGTATGTAAACAATACAGATCTCTCCCTTGTCAGCTCCTGCACCCTGCTTTGTACGGCTCTGCATTGCAGAGCCGTACAAAGCAATGTGCTGACACTGTAAAGCACACACACAGCAAAACAGCACACAGTTAACCCTTTGATCACCCCACATGTTAAAGCCATTCACGGCCTGAGTATTTTGTGGTTTGAATCTCCAAAACTCTCAACATCCACATTTTTATGGTTTTCAGTTGTGCCTGTTCACATGAAGCTTGGAGCTCTAAGAAAAAGGATCTGAGCTTCTTTTGGCCCCAATAGACTTCATTGGGAGCTCCTAAAAAAAAACACTTGAAAAGATACGTATTGTCATTTTTTCCCCCGTAACTAGTTTTCCATCGGGTAACAATCATTTTTTTTAAATACTCAAGTCTCAGGTACCAGCAAAAAAAAAACACCTGTATAAACACTAAAAAAAAAAGTACGCAGAGCATCCAAAGATACTCAGCTCGGAGCTGGCCATACTCTATACAATATGATTGTACAATCTCTGTACAATTTCAAACTCTATTATATGAGGACAGACCTAAGCATTGTAGTCTATCAATATCAAATCAGGCAGCCTCTTACAATACATAGTTGATGGTGGATCTAAGGCTCCAATCACATCTGCATCTTCCAGGAACGCACGCAGAGACGTGTGGTTCTGCGCGCGTTCCTGGAACACGCGAAAAAAAACACACATCGCATTTGCAGTGCTATTAATTGTTAATGGTACAACATACATGGCTAGGAAATAGTAGAAAAAAAAAAAAAAAAACACACAATGCTCACTACCCAAAAAGGTGCGGAGCATCGTGTGTGCATTCACTGAGCACAGGGCAACCCATTCAAGTGAGCGGCCACGTGAAAAATGCGCATCAGTGCAATGCACAGGTGGGAATAAGTCCTAAGGCCTGGTTACCCCTATGCAGGGGCGGACTGACCATTTGGAAACTCGGGCACTGCCCGAGGGCCCAGGGTCAGTAGGGGTCCCATGAGATGCCCCTGGTACCTTTTTCATAGGCTTTTTGAGTTTGGGCAAGGACACAGGGGCCCCATGATCCTCTATTGCCCGGGGGCCCCATGAGTTGTCAGTCCGCCCCTGCCCCTATGCGTCTTTCAGTGCGTCTTCAGTTTTGCATAAAGGCACTACAGTTCATTTACCATGATTTCTTATGGGTCACCTTTACATCTGTGCATTTTTAACCGATGCGTTTTTTGGAAAGGGTCAGGGACATTTTTTCCTGCCGCAGATTATGTTTTTGGTTCTATAGAATTCAAAAGAAATGCAGTAAAAACACATAACAAATGTTGTGCTTGTGTTTTTGATGCATTTCTGCTGGTTGCTCACGCAAGACAACAGACACCTCCCAAAAATGCAAAACACATCAAAACGCATCAAAAACACGTGTGCAAAAGCGCACCAGTAAAATGCATCAACCACAACCTGCATAGGTGTCAACCAGGCCTTAAGGAGATTGGACAATCAGGTTGTATAGTGTATGATCAGCAGGGCCGATGCTTCCACTAGGCCAGGAGTGTCCAAACTATGGCCCTATGGCCCTACAAGTCCCATCATGCCTCTGCCTCTGGGTGTCTTGCCTGCAGATGTCAGAGTCTTGCAAGGCCTCATGGGACTTACAGTTCCTCAACACCTGGAGGGCCATAGTTTGGACACCCCTGCACTAGGCAAACTTGGCGTCTGGAAGCAGCATGAATGATCCTTCAGCTGAGAGGAGGGGCAACAGAGGGGAAGAAGAAAAGACAGGAGGATGCTAGATCTCTGGGGACAGTGTAGCAGCTGAGCTGTTGCTCCTTCCAGTGTTCCTCTCAGACTCAGTCCCTTACTGCAAGCCGGCTGCCGGCTGCTGATCACTGTGGAGTTCCAGACCTTGTCTTCCCATTCATCAGCAGAGGCGGAGCTGCGCCTATGGAGGAAGGTAATGTCTGACTCTGATGTCTCGTGTCTATGTGGGTGTGACCCGGCTGACCATCCATCACACATGCAATGTGTCAGAGAGCGATGATATCATCACGATCCCAATACCTGCTCTTCCAGTGCCTGCTGGTCTGTGTCAGTGTCGGTGGTGGTGTGTTGTATCGGATCTGTCACTGGGTGGGATCACTCAATTCAGCTACCTGCTGTCACAGCATTTTATCCCCCCCATTGCCTGGGGAATTCCATCCTGGGATCTGTCAGAGTGTGGATTCATCACCCTCCACTCACTGCAACTGTCACCCTGTCACTGCCAGCCACAGACACATTCCATCCGTGACACTGATCTTGTCTTTAATATTGGTGCTGGTGGCATCTTATGGCGCTTATTTTTGCAGATGAAAAAATTTAGCAATTTCATGTTCTGTTAATTGTTTAATATTTTCTACTGTTTTTTTTGGGGGGGGGTTCAAGTAGCTGGTCTTGCCTAGGGCGCATGTTATTCTAGCACCAGCCCTGATGGTCAGCCTTACACGGACAGCGAGGGTCCTTCTCTGCAGCACGCTGGCGGGGGACAGACTTTTCTACACCTTTTGTTGTAATACACATGGAAACCATTCAGTTGATTTAAAAGGAAAGTTGAGTTGGGCTATGAATTAACTTCTACCCAACTGGACACGAGTGTTCAACTGTATGAATGTGCAGAGGACAAAAGAGTGTGAGCTTCTATGGGGACAGACACTGATGGAAAATGTGTGTTGGTCCATATACTTGTCCATTAGATGAGTACATGCACCCTGACCATGCAGCTTGTGTTTAAGGTATACCCAGAAATCCTCTACAATGACACCATTTGCTTAGTAAGTATTATGACAAAGCTGACCTGAAATGCTCAGAGCGTGTGATTTGATTGGTCTGACCCCGCTACTACGGGTGGCATCACGTGTTCATTCTGTAATCTATGTCTCTTGGATTGCGTCCCACGCTTGTTTTGTCTCCGAAGTCATTGATTCATGTTACTCTAAGCAGAGTGTGTGAGCAGTATAGTATGATAATTACCATAATCACCGTGATTAACACTGGGTATTTATAGGTCAGGAGGAACACTGCATTGTGAAACGATTACTAATTCTGCTGTAAGGTGAATGAGATTAACTTCTCGTTAACCCCAATACACCCAAGTATTGGAACAAAGGAGGAGACCAAACTGTGACCTAGGGATAGGACAGGAAATGATAGTGTAATCCTCTAAAAAAAAAAAAAAGAAAAAAAAAAAAAAAAAAAGAAGATATTTCGGGGCAGGTGGACATTTGTTCTTTAAATCAAGTGCCAGTTTCTTATACCTGTCAGGGATGGTTGGTTGAGAGAGCCCCTTGTAAGGTCTTGTGCACACTGGAAGTGTAGCCCCCGTGCATGGGTTTCTGGTGTTCTCATGCAGGCAGAAGGCATAGGGGCATCGTCCGTCTGTCAGGAAGCCTTTTGGGCTTCAATCAGATGGCGTACCAATCCCTACGCCCGTGCAAAGAGCTGTCTTCAGCCCAGAGAATCAACACTTTGACACCATAGTGCCCAGAGATGCTCAAGAAGTTGAACAGACAATGTAAGATGATAACCATAGGATCTCTGCCAGAACAGGAATGTTCCGCCAATGCTGCCCTCATGAGATCGGGGACTCTTTGAAGACATAAACAAAAGGACGCAAAGGCCTAGTGCAGTCCCATCTTCATTTATTAATATAGAAACTCATAAAAGCCAAGATATAAAAGCTCTGAAGAGGATGAAACACCCCTCGAAACGTATCAGCCGTACTTTGATTCATATGAGTGTTGCATCTTCTGGATCACTGTTCTGTCTTCAGCCACCTGGGATGCACAGATGTTCCATTGAGGGTCATGCAGGCAGCCTGCTGAAAACAATGACCGGTGGTGGGCTGCACGGACCTCCAAGCACATCCTGGGATGCACATGGAGGTGTGGACAACCAGCCACCAGTCACTGATTCCAACAGGCTGCCTCAGGGGTCTGCATGGAACACCTGTGCATACCAAGTGGATCTAGGTGGCCCTTCACTTGGGCATATGGATCATTACACTCATGTACTGTAAATGAGGCCTAAACATCTATCAGAGATTGACTGTGGCTGGATGGCGTGGACAGTGTGCCAAGTGGTACTTACATTTAGGGCAGTATGCACCCAGGAACAAATGGCCAGAATGCAGACTTCTTGCGTTCTGTGCATTCTTCCTTGGGCACATAATTTCCAAAACATTAGTATCACTAGGTGGACTGTCCAGCAGCAGCCTTCAGCCTCTCGTAGACTTTTACAGGCAGCAAGACCGGATGATGCACCTGTGCCTTATGCCTGCATGAAACGCCAGAATCACATGCCCAAGGCCATCTCCCGGTGTGTACAAAGCCCAGGAGTCACACCAGGTGAAGATACTTCAAAAGCCTACACATGTCCAACTGAAATGATTTACCCAACTGCAAATGAGAAAGTAAATGTGGAGCTGTCCCTCACAGTAATTCCTTTCTGTCACTAGCGGTCCTCAGACTTGGATGACACCTAGCACATAACCTCCCAACAGTCCTGGATTCCCCGACACTGATCAGAAATTTTAGCAATGTCCTGGATTCCCATGGACCTAAGCTGTGTCCTGCTCACAACTGCACCTGTACAGAAAAGGTGCATGGATGTCGATTACTCATGATGTGGCTAAGACGCCTAAGGCCCCGGATGGGCAGGACAAGAGGCATCTGCTGAAGAGAGCTTTCTATGGATCCAAGGTACTGTGCAGAAGGATTGAACTGACATTACTGCTGGCTCTTTTTACATAACAGTTCATGTTCTCATGAATGATGATGCTTATACCTATGCACATTCAATCAACTGTGCTTTTTATTAAATTAAAGCCTGACTTCAGGAAAAGTAAAAGTCCCCCCTTGCAGAGGGTCTGTGCCAACACCAAAAGGGTTAATGCTCATTTCTTTCTAGGGCAATGGTCTCCAAATTACGACCCAGAGGCCAGATGTGGCCCTTGGCTTGCCTTTACCTAGCCCTTGAGGCACTATTACCTACACCATCTATAGGGCCTATTTCACCCTTGACACCATCTATAGGCACTATTTCACCCTCTGACACCATCTATAGGGCGCTATTTCACCCTCTGACACCATCTATAGGGCACTATTTCACCCTCTGACACCATCTATAGGGCACTATTTCACCCTCTGACACCATCTATAGGGCACTATTTCACCCTCTGACACCATCTATAGGGCACTATTTCACCCTCTGACACCATCTATAGGGCACTATTTCACCCTCTGACACCATCTATAGGGCACTATTTCACCCTCTGACAGCATCTATGGGGCACTATTCTGCCTTTTGATACCAACAATGGGGCACTATTCCATCCATTCAAACCAATCATGACACATTTCTTATGCCCACTAATGCTGGAGCATTTTTTTACTCCCACTGCCCATAGTCCAGCCTCCTAAAGTCTGAAGGACAGCAAACTGGCCCTTTGCTTAGAAAGTTTGGAAACCCCTGGTCTAGGGAATGGGAAAAATGTATGTCTAGGAGGACTGGGTACAGCAGTTTTAACTAGCTGACCCTCCACACCCCCAGCAGACAGCCCTGACCTACACTCCGTCAGTGGGCTGTCCCTCTATATTCTCAAGTGCCAATGCAGGGCTATGAGCCCTGCATTGTCTTGATGATGTCAGGGGCCACCTGCAGGTGTGCAAGGGAGAAGAGGCTGCAGGAGCAGAAAATCAGGTAAGTATACAGTGCTGTACCTAGTCCTCCAGACATACATTTTTCCTGTTCACTCTACACAAACTAGCATTAATCATTGTAATGCAGATTTGGAATTCCTGGGAATACACTGTGGTGATTGTGCACACTTGTTCATGTAAATATTAGTGATGTCAGTGTCTGAGCAACAGCA